ATGTCCCTTAGCTAACTGGTCAGTTAGTAGTCAGGTATCTTGTGGATCATGGTTCAAAACAGCTGTGAACAAGGCATTGTTCAATAGCACTGGAACTTACAATAATAATTCTTATGTTTAATGGCCTCTGAACAACAGCCAGTGTTCAGCTTTTACTGCAAATCACTGCCTTTCATTTGAATTTGGTCTACAATAAACATTTTTCAGTGTCTGTGAAGAAATGCCACGCAATCTTTAGTCTAACGCTTCATCACTAACACATTTCTTCAGTGGTAGAGGGGGAAGCAGAAACTTGTTTTTAGTTTTTGGGTGGATTTCTGTGCTGAGGTGCTACAGCTAGCGTGACAGAGATCTCCAAATATACATTAATCCAGTATAACACTCATAAAAGCAGTAATAAAAGAGGATGGTACCACAGAATATGAAACACACGTGAGTTCAGGAAATAGCACAGAACTGAAAATTGTACTTTCTTTAAATGAAATCACCAACACCCAAAATCCCAGCAGAACAACTTTTCCTTTGCTAATATATGAGAGAAATAGTAAATGCATACTGAAAGCAGGAACATGGTTCCAGTTTTGCTAAAATTCATGTGGAATTTCTGAAGAATCAGAAGTGACCATTGCCTTCTCTAGATCTGTTAGGAATGCAGGGCTTGGTCTGGCAAACCTGTAGATCAAAGAGCACTCATGGTCTTTATATGGAAAACAATACAAGAGAAAAAGGCCAGCCTTCACTCACAACATTCAACTATAATGCTGGATTTCAGAGAATCTCAAAAATTCTCCCAGGAACACTGATACCAGGACATGTGCATTAATAATCTTGTTCTTTGCCACACTCCATCTGCCCTGGAAATAGTGAGCTGAGAAATAAGAACAAATGCCTCTGCAGCTGAGTGTTTTGAGCCAAGAAAAGGGAAATATAATTCACTTAAGTTGTCACGTGGATGAAACGCTTAGTGGATATATTTAACTAGAAACATCAGCAAGTGCTCAAGAAGCGCAGGAAGCTTGCTCTGTTTCTCTGAATAGGTGGCTAAATTACTGTCACTGTGTCACTTCTACTTTGGAAAATGACCAGAAGTTGAGTCTTCTCTCACACAGTCTAAGTAAGGAAATTAAACAAGGAAGCTGCAAATTAGGTGGTGATTCTCAGTGTAACCAGATATTCTAGAGTAACATGCTCTAACTGCTACTGAGAAGTCACCATTTCTCTACAATTGCATCTTATCATCTTTTCCAACTCGGTTGACTTTTAACAAATATTGCACTGAATTCTAAGTCACTCAGAAAGTTAAAAATCATGATGCAAGAAGCTTACAGGCAGCTATAAGCAAAAAATACAGAGTAGACAGTGGGGGCCTCCTTGGCTAAGGTGTAGTTCAGGAAATGGATGGTCACTCATAAAAACATTACGTGCTGTTACCACCCTTTCCAACTCTAGCATGGCAGCAGGAGTAACTGGCCTCTCTGTTGCTTATCACTCAGGAGCGACCTGTCCCAGGCTGTTGTTAGATCTGGATCTTTGGGAATCTTTTTGGGCAGCAAAATTGAGTTATGGATACTTATTAGCTCATGGTTAAAAAAAAAAAAAAAAAAAAGAATTTTTTTTTTTTTTTTTGCATTATGAAAGGGTGGGATATACTTAGGGCAAAGTATACCCAGTGTGCTGACTAACTTAAAACCATCTTTCCTGCACTGCCTAAAAAGCGATACAGGGAAGACATCTTTGGCACACTGTGGCTGGAACAGCAGAGACACAAATGGCTTTGGCTGTGTCTGTAAGTCACAGGTGTGCATTGTGGATGACAAGAAAGATGAAAAAAAAAAAAGTTTTCCATTCTGTAGGAAGTGTAGAGGGAGATAATGAGCTGAAAGGCTGTGCAAAAGCGGTGCTCTCTCCAGAGAGGGTCACCAGCTGAAGGGCATGGTCATCAATCCATTTACAGTGACAGCAGAACTGCCTGCTTCCTCATAAATAACGTAAACTAGAAAATACAAGCTAGAAAAGGTGCATGTAGCTGTCTTCAGAAACTGAGAAATTACCTTCAGTACCACTCACAAGTGAAAACAAAATGATACAGTTTTACCTGACTTTTGTGATAGTTATTCTCCTGCTGCCTTGGTAGTAGGAACAGTCAGGTTATGGCTATGGTTACACTCCATTTTCCTACTGCTTTGCACCTTCAGATGTCTTGTCAAAGGAGGCTCACTGAGGCAAGAAGAGCAGTCCTGAGCAAGGCAGTAGACAGCATTCTATTGTTGCAGTCTTCACTACAATTACCTTAATACAAAGGCCAGATCTACTGTCTCACAGAGCCAAAATATTTTTTTTAGATATGAAAAGAGTCAGATAAATGTGCTATTAACAAATGCATGAATAAAATTTTTTTATTATTATTTTTTTATTTCATTGATGACTTTACTACAGACACTACAGGACTCTTGTTTTGGCTAGGTCAGATAAGCAGACACTGTCACACTTTGTGAATCTTCATGTAAAATCAGAGACATCCCATTTCTAAACTCCCTGTTTTATTTACCACAGCTCTTATTTCTTTCAAGTCTGCTAAGAAATAAACACTGCTGAATTCACCATAGCTCTTCTTGAGCAGGAAGCCAGTACCAGAAAAGTGCCACATCAAGGACTGACCCTATGTGCAGGTATACTAGCACTGCTTCTGGTACTTCCGTAACAAATTTATTCCACAGTGTTCTGTGTTTGAATGAGTGGTGGGGTTTTGGGGTAGCAGGGGAGGGGGCTATAGGGGTGGTCCCTGTGAGAAGCTTCTTGATGCTCCCCCAGCTCCAAGTTGGACCCAGCTCTGCACCAAGGCTGAGCCAATTAGCTGCACCCCTGCGATAATGTATTTAAGAAGGGGAGGGGGCCTGGGAGGAGGAGTTGGAGTTGTGAGGAGCAGTTGTGACATCTATGTGAACACCAAGGTCAGTTGAGGAATAGAGGAGAAGGAGGTGGAAGTACGCTAGTGCAGACTCCCTCCCTCCCTGCAGCCTGTGGTGAGATGGCAGAGCCACTCGCCCACCACCCATGGAGGTCCACAATGGAACAGATGCTGACATACAGCCTCTGGAGGAGACAATACCACAGCAGGTGATTGGGTCCGAAGAAGGCCGGGACTCTGCGGGAAGAAGCAGCCCCCGCTGTTGTAGTTCAGTGCTGGGAGGATTGCAGCATGCGGGGGTGTCCCATGCCAGAGCAGCTCAGGAGGGGCTGCAGCCTGTGAGAGGTACTCAAGTTGGAGAAAGTTTGTGGAGGTCTGTCTCCGGTGAGAGGGGGACCACGCTGGAGCAGGGGGAAGAATTTCCAGAAGTTGCACACCCCCCTCAAGAGGGAAGAAGCCGCAGCACTGACTGTACTCCCCATTTCCTGCCCCCTGCACCACTGAGGGGGGGGAAGGTAGAGATATCGGGAGCAGAGCTGAGGCCAAGAAGAAGGAATGTGTGGGGGAAAGTGTTTTCAAGATGTGTTAAGTGTTAGTGTTGCTAGTGTCTATATTAAATTTATGTTCATTTCTTCCCCTAACAAGTCTGTCTTTTCTGTGTGACCACTATGCATGAATCATCACTCCCTGTCCTGATCCCAAATCCTGAGCCTTTACTTATATTTTCTCCTTCCCAGCACTGGGGGGGAAAGGGGAAGTGACTGACTGTGTGGTGCTCAGTTGCGCTCTGAGCTCAAACTACAGCAGTGAGTCATCCTTATTCCCTCTCCTCATTTCGATTCCCAAACCTTTTGCTTCATTTTTTCTACCCAGTGCTGGGGCGAAGGGGGAATGAGCAGCTCCATGGTCCTACGTTGCCCTCTGAGCTCAAACCACAGCACACAGACAAATCAGAATGGATGTGGATGCACCGTGTGAAAGAAGAAAAGGCTGTAGATGCTTCATGATGATTTTATACAGCCTGTGACTGTGAAACATGCTGCTTGCTCTTGGAATTCTTACTGCTTGTTTTTGCTGTCCAAAACCATGATTCTTCTTTTTGTTTAAAAAGCCTGTTGCAAGAACCACGTTTTCAAGGGTATTCAAAAACATGCTTGGGATACCAACTTGGAAACCTCATGCGGAAGGAGTAATGCACAAGTATGTAAGAAACAACTTTAGAAGAATCTGAATGTAAACCTGGATCTTGAGATGAGGCTTCACTAAGACAGACTGGTAATACTGTATTTCAACATTACAGATCTTGTTCAAAAACTGCAAGTTCACTTTTCTGAATTTTTATCTTTTGGTTTCTTTAATAATTTTTATCTGCATGGAATCAAATCAGTGTCCAGATGAGAGATAAAACAGCCATAAAAAGACAGATATTAAAACATCTGTGCTGATACATGACTGAGCACACTTGGGAATATCCTGGAGACACAATTAAGTCAGGAACTATCTTCTACAATTACAGCCTGTTTTAAGGATCCTGAAGATCTTTGAGAAACACCTAATTATTTTTTAAGAAAGATAGATGGTTGAACCCGTAAGCTAGTTGACTTAAAATCTCTGGCTGACGTTCAAAAATTTCATTGGTTTATTCTCTGGGAAATGTTTGTATTATAGCAACTGATGTGAACATATAAATATATTTTCTAATGCCTTAATTGATCATGGTCTTAATTCTTGAAACCACCAAACAACTGGAAAGTGTAATCAGAGAATAGACTTATCTCAAGTATCTACAGAGGTTGTTCCAAACACTGAAGCAAAGCATGTGGGCTGTGGGAGCACGCAAAGTTGTGATATTACGCCCCTTGACTTAAACCAAGCTTCAAAATGCACACTCTTCCTCCCCCCCTCCCCCCCACACTTTAAAACACACAACTTTCAGAATATTTTGACAGGCATGATGTTAACATTTCAAGGAGTGGAAAAACTAAACACTGCAATCCTGCTTATGCCTATTCTATTTTGCAAGCGCCTCCCAAGAGACAAGTAAAAGAAAAATAGTACTACCACAAACTGTATTTAAGAAAAAGCTTTACTCCACCGAATAGTATCTCTCTACATCACTTCTTCGGTCAAATATAATATGGGTCATATTACAGAAGTATTGACTATGCTCCAACTTCCTGTCATTGCTACTGTAATCACGCAAGTGTAGCAATTGCCACGTGTATGTATACGGATACCCTTTCCATTCGGAAGCGATGACTTTACTGAGCACCCGAATGTGAAAAAACACTCCGACGCTCCAGCCAAGTAGTCACACCTCCGTCGTGCTGAAGGAACAGCTCCACCTGGTGTTCTCCAGCACCATCGCTACTCCGTTCGTGCTGTGGCTCGTTACCTTACTTCTAAGCCAGAATGTTGGTTACATGTTGGTTACGCCGGGCACGGGGCCAGCTGCGCTCGAGAAGATGGCGGCAGGCCCGCCGGCCTAGCTGCGGGGCCGGCAGAGGGGCAGGCACAGACGGGAGCAAGGGGACGGGGACGGCGCGTTTCCCCGCAGCGGCCCACCCTCCCCAGGGCTCCGGGCGTGAGCCCGCACCACGGGGAACTGCCGCGGAGGTTCCCGCGGGGGCGTGGAGCGGTGCGGAGGCGGCCCTGCCACGGCACAGCGCCCATCGCCTGCTTTACGGCACGCTGCTCCGGCATTGTCGCGCGACAGCGGCCAGGCGGGCCAATGGGGAGCCGCGTCCGGCGGGGGGGCCCGCAAAGCGCGGTCTGGGTGGTGCGGCACGCGCGGAGCGGCGTGGAGGTATGGCGGGTCCGGGAAGGGTTTAGGGTGTTGAGGCTGCCTTTTCCTCACGTCGTTGCTGAGGGCGTCACGGTGGCCCAGTAGTGGTGTCTCTTCCTCCGTTTGCAGCGTTGGCCGCGATGGAAACCAAGGGTAAAAAGAAGTTCGTGGGGAAGAGTGGGAAAGCACCTCGTGGGAAGGCGCTACACGGGAAAAGGAAATTTAAAAAAGACAATGGTAAGAAGGCATAGGCTCCCTAATAGGAGCCCTGGCTGTGTGATTATCGCTGTGCACAGGCATGCTTGAACTTCATCGTTTTGGTAAACTTATGTCATGAAATGACTAGCCTGGGACATGAGTGAAGAGAGCTGAGTGTTGTCTACCTGGACTTCAGTAAGGCTTTTGTCAGTGTCTCCCGTGGGAGCCTCGCAGAGGCGTTGATGAGTTATGGGCTAGATGAGCTGAGCAGGCGTTGAGGTAGATTGAAAACTGACAGAATGGCTGTGCCCAGAGAGTGCTAATCCGTGGCAGAAGATCAAGTTGGGGGCCGGTAACTAGCAGTGTACCCCAGGGGTCCATACTGGGTCCAGTTCGGTTCAGCAGCTTCGTTGATGATCTGGATGATGGGGCAGAGTGTACATCAGCAAGTTTACACAGAACTGGGAGCACTGGCTGATGAACCAGGGGTCGTGATGCCCTCCCGAGGAACTTCAGCGGGCTGGCAGGAACCTCATGAGTTTCAACGAACAGTGAAATGCAGAGTCCTGGCCCTGATGAGGAACAACCCCGTGCAGCAGTATGTGCTGGGGGAAAGCATCTTTGCAGAAAAGGCCCGGGGCTCCTGGTAATCACCAAGTTGAACGTGAGCCAGCAGTGTGCTCTTGTGGCAAAGGTGGGAGTGCTGCCAGCAGGTCAGGGGAGGTGATCCTTGCCCTCTCCTCAGCACCAGTGAGAGCACACCTGGAGTGCTGTGTCCAGTTCTGGGCTCCCCAGTACAAGAGAGACAGGGACATACTGGAGAGAGTCCAGCAAAGACCATAAACATGATAAAGGGCCTGGACTGCTTCTCCCATGAAGAAGGCCTGAGGGACCTGGATCAGTTCAGCCAGGAGTAGAGAAGGCACAGGGAGATCTTTTCAATGTATACAAATACCTGAAGTGGGGGCTGCAAAGACAGAGCCAGGCTGTATCCGGTGGTGCCCAGTGACAGGGCCAGCCAGAGGCAAGGGGCACAGACTGAAACAGGAGGTTCCTTCTGAACATCAGGAAAGACTTCTTTACTGAGAGGGTGACTGAGCACTGTCACAGGTTGCCCAGGGAGATGGTGAAGTCTTCCACTTTGGAGATCGTCCTGGGCAACTAGCTTTGGGTGGCCCTGCATGAGCAGGAGGGTTGAATCAGGTGACCTCCAGAGGTCCCTTCCAACCTCAATCATTCTATGATTCTGTCTTACATTCAAAACTATACTGACTGTAAGATCAAATAACCTGGAAAAAGTAAAACTGAAATGCTTTAAATAGTATTGCAAGCCCTTCAGCTCCATTGGATTGACCTAAAATACTCTTTTAGTTAAAGATTTGAAGATGATAACTTTTTGAGTCTCGACTGATTTTCCACATTAAGAAAAAGTTTATTTGAGAGTTGAAGCTAGGGTGTGTGAAGTTCTGTGGGTTAGGATTGAGAAAGATACCTTTCAGTGTGTGGTTGCTTCTGCTTAAAACAGATGATGTCAAAACAACTCTGACCATAAACTGTGAAGCAGTGGGTTGCAGACTGATGACTGATGTCAGGGGTGGTGAAACTCTTAGTTTAGAATAATCCTTTTTATGCCTGGGCCATTGCATTGCTGCCCAGAAAATAATGTCTGGGCAAAACTCCCCAAGGGAGGAGTGGGACACCCAGGGACTGCAGTGAAAACACCAGCTTTGGGAAGCATGTAAGAATTAGTGTTATATATATAACTGTTACTTCAAACAGTTTAATACTTGTTACAGTAAAAATTTATTTTGAAGCAACATTAGTTCTAGGATAACATTTTAATTTCTGTTTTGTTGCTTAATAGATTCAGGTCCACCAAAGAAACTCCTTAACAAAGGAGATGAGGAGGGAAAGCCTAAATCCATTTCCAAAAAATTTGTGAAAGGACAGTTAAGACCTGGAAGAGCTAGTGTCAAACAATTCAAGAATAAACAGCAATCAGAAAAGTCTGCAAAGAAGAGGAAGCTCCAGGATGGTGAAGAGGGAGGTAAGCAGATTTTTAAGATCAGCTTAAAATTGATTGAATATCAATGAATATCACCTTATTGATAGAGTATTAATGGAAACTGGATTTTGGGAAACACTTTGTTCATCTAGGTCTTCCTCTTTCTCCCTGCCTTGTTACCACCTTTCCAAATTGGCTGAATGACTCCAAATTTACTTCATGTTTAATCTTTGCTGTGGAAAAAATTATTTCACCTGACTAAACTTGAGGCCAAAGTCATGAGGATCAACAGTTAGGAAGTTTCTTGGAAGTCAAAAGTGAAGACGCAATAGCAAATTTAAATAATTGGTATACCATCATACCACCATATTTTAATGACAGTATTAAGTGGCTAGCTTGAAACTGTCTGTTTTCACACAAATTTGGAAAACACGGAGTTTTTCATAGACCATTTTAGAAATTTGATCCTCTTTTCTAAAGATACTGGCTCTAAAATTTGGAACACAAAAACTCATGAAACAAAGTTAATTATCCTTTATATTATTTTTTTCCTGTGGTCCAAACCATCTAGTCACCTATTTTTAAAGAAAAAAAATAGACATCATCAGTGTTATCACTGCTTTTCATAATTTACAGATTATTTTTGTATTTATACAGAGAGGCTAAATAAATGTCTGGTTTTATCACTCATTAAATGGTTTTCTGTTTTTAATTTTGTTTCTGGTACATGAGAACTTCATGTTGTTTCTTCCTCTGCTGTGAGGCAAAGCTCTGCTAGGACAATTAAACAGCACTGTAAAATGAGAAGTGGAATCATATGTGAGAGATTCTGAAGTTCTGCAGAAGAATGTTTGTTGTTTGAAGGACAGTAGAAGGTGTTGACTATTGTTGCTGCTGTTGCATGTTTGCAGAATGGCATAACATGGAATATGCACTAAATGTCTGGAAATTTAATAGCAACAGAATGTTCATACTAAACTGCTTTTAAAAACTGCAACTGCAAACCTTTAAATGTTTTTAAGAATAACTGAAAGCTGCTGTGTATTGCACAGTGGCACAGCTCTCAAAGCAAAGTGTTCCTGTTTTTGCTTGTTGCTATTAGTTTAGCAGAGTGATAGAAAAATGGACAATATTCTTTGTAAAAAGAGAGCATGGGTTTTGGATGGTCAAGACAGTTAAGTTCATGCTGCTCAATACCAACAAGTGGTGGTTTAAGGTCTTAAAATTTAAAGCCGGGTCTTTAATGTTCCATGCAGCAGTAATAGTTACCATGACTTGCTTCTGTGAAACCATATAATATAAGATGACGGTTTTTGTCAAGGTTTGAATAAAACTAAAATCAAATACTTGGAAGTTTTCCATAACTCATCTGTGGCTCTTTCTATAAAGTTACCTTAACTGAGCTCGTTGTATGTCAGTGTATAGCTGTTGTATAGTATAATCCCATACTTAACGATATTTGATTGAATAAAAAGATCAAGCATGTAAAAAGGCTTTAATTTTTTTATTTTTTTCTGAGATTTCAGATATATGTCTTTGAGTTAGGGCTCTTCTTTTGAGAGAAGGAAAAGGTATGCATGTGTACAGGATGAACTAAAACCGACGAATTACCTGAGGCAGTCACAGGCTGCTAGGTGCATTTTCAGTCAATTTTCAAGCTAGTAAGAGGTTTACGGTGCATCCTTTGACAGAGCTTTGAGGAAAAGAAGTAATTTTTTTCCTTGTTCTTCCAGTATTCTAGAAGTGGAAATTACTAGTTTAGCATACTTATTAAATATTTATGCTTTCATATTAGCTAGCTGTGTAACTGCAGGCAAAGCTCCTGAATTGTTAGCAATTCAAGTCACAGAGCTGCCACAGTTTATACTGGTAAAGTAAATTGCTCCTCTTTTATTGACTATAGAAAATGTATGTATTCTTCTCTTCAGGGTCAGAGTCTAAGAAGCCGAAGTGGAATGACTTCAAAAAGAAAAGGAAGGAATTAAAGCAAATCAGACAAGTTAATGATAAAAGTAATTATGACATAATTGTAAAATCAAAGCAAATATGGGAAAGTGTGAGAAGGTAATAATGACTTTTTTTTCTTTCATTCATTTTGGCTGTTAGTCATAAGTTGCAAGAAGACTTTCTTTCTCCTCTTGTAATTATATGAAACTGTATTTCCACAGTGAAACTCCATGGGTGAACGATAACATTATGTGCAGTTCTGTACATGGTTAAAGCAGAGTGGGGTGACCCATGGCCTAGAAATGTCTGGATTGATTTCACTTGTATTTTAGGCAACAATTTGTGAGTAAATGCTTAAGGAGTTGTCTTATTTTTTGAATCCTGAACCAGAGAGCATGTATTGATTCAGCCTGATCTTGAAGTGGGATCACTGTATGAGTTTTTTTTGTGGAGGCTTGTATACTCTCTCTGGGAAGGAGTAATTATAGGACTGGGGCCCCACATCAGGAGGAGTTAGTTTTACTTGCTCTAAGCATCTATGCTTTGCAGCTTTGGCTGTAGGATTTGAGTTTATGTTATTTTTAATATTAATTGTTTCTCGGAAAAGAATCAGTTTGAAGTGTGGAAATCTGGTCTGGTTTCTGGGAACTGAAACTACTTAATTTCATCTATCTGCAGGTTTAATGAATGACAATGTAAATTTGGATTAGCATGAGCTAACTTAATTTTGTACTGTCTTGCTTCTTAATTTATAGATATAAATGAATTATACTACAAAAAAAAGCTGCTTCCTCTGTTAAGGCGGTTTTACTTTTTTTTTTGCTTGTAGGAAGAAATGTGATAAAGAGAAGCGAGAAAAGCTAATGAATGAGCTACAAAAGCTTCTCCATGGAAAAATTAAAAGTGTAAGAAAAATTAATGCCATCGTTCACAGATTCACAAAAGCTTCTTTAGAGAATGGTGACATATAAATAAACTTTCAATAATATAGTATTAACCTGTTCTTCCAAAAGCTACAGGGGGATTTTTTTAAACTGTGACTCAAAAAGAACAAAAACAGGGTTGAAAGGCTGCATTTGGCACCTGGATCTCAGGACAGAGATCCTAGGATGCTTTGTCCATCAGCTGGCTACTATAAAGCTGTCTGTTTTGTCAAGCAGCTTTAATCCAGTAAATTCTGTATTATCTGAACCTCAAAAACAGCCTCTCAGACTTCCGATTAATTACAGTTGTTACTTTGCCATATTCTTATAAAGAAGCTAATGTACTGGTACTTAATGATATTAAACAGTCTTTCCGCTTAGTTCCTAAAATACATAAATTTGCAGTTAAATACATGTTGGATTTTAAAGTGATTCTTGCTATTCCATGCCAAACTGGAACTGTATCAACACTCATTCTGAAATTACAAAGAATATGAGAGAAAATGAAATACCAATTTATGGTTTTCTTTCAGTATTAAAGCCTCAATGTATGTCCTTAATTGTCAGCAACTGCAAGTATTGTCTATATTTTGTTTGATGGAATACTTATAAAGCAGTAAAAAAACCCTTAAAACTTAATTTGTTATGAACAGTTAAATTTTAGAATTGGCATTAGATGCTAATAAAACTATATCAGAGGGCAAGTGCATTAAAATAAGATTTGTGCATAATGCCCTAGAATAATGAAATATCTCTGTCCTATAGCTGGCGTTTGCACATGATTCAACTCGAGTCATCCAGTGCTTTATTCAGTATGGTAGCGAGAAGCAAAGGCAGGAGGCATTTGAAGAATTGAAAGGTATTTTCTTCTCATTTATTTACGTTTCAACTATGTGGTTCTGTGTTGTTGTTAGGATGCTGTAAAACAATCCATATTATTTTCTCTTGAATATTTTTAACTTTCTACTGAACTGATGCATCATTCCTAGTGAGCTCTTAAAGTTTATTTAAATATATGGCATCTTGTTTTGTAGTGCTAATGTAGTGAAAAATCAAACCAGCTGAATGTTTTTCCCTTCTTCTAGATAGCCTAGTAGAGTTGAGCAAGTCAAAATATTCCAGAAATATCGTGAAGAAGTTTCTTATGTACGGGTGAGTATGAAGTGAATTTGCTTAGCTGTGTTGCATTGTTTAATTTCCATTGTGAATGCTGCTCTTAATCTATAGTGCATCGATTATGAATTAAAAAATATGTCTCTGGAAACATTTTTATAGTAGTGGTGAGACAGGAGAGTGTCTGGTGTTGTTAACAGTTTTCCTTTTGCAAAAAGTAAAGCTAAAGCTGTACACGAGGAAAACATACACCAAAGAAAGCTCATATACATGCCCAGAGTTGATCTTTGCCTCATACAAAAAAACCTGGCTTTTAAAAATTTTCTCTGCTTAGTGTTTCAGGGAGGCATCCTTTATTCTGTCAGATTTATCCACTGATTTCTTTCCCTCAAATGCTTCATTCTTGAGTTCTTCATTTTCATAAATGCCACGAGGCTGGCCCAGATGCGTATTTTTCCTGGTTTCTTTGCTAAAACTTATCACCTAAATGTGCTTCCAAAATTAAAACTATTGATAGGTCAGTTTATCCCTGAAGTTTTAACTCTTGCTATCTATATATCCCCTGTGAAACAGGACAAAACTACAAGTTGCAGAAATAATAAAAAGTTTTAAAGGCCATGTGAAAAAAATGCTCCGTCATGCTGAAGCATCTGCTGTAGTTGAATATGCATATAATGACAAAGCCATTCTGGAGCAGAGGAATATGCTGACAGAAGAACTGTATGGGAACACTTTCCAGGTTTACAAGGTGATGTTTCAATACCTCCTAGTCTAAGGTGTTTTAGCATCTAATTTATTGTGTTTGTAATACATTACCTAACTTACCTACCTCTTCTTTTGATTAAATTTCTTTCTGTTAACTGTCCAAATGTAGTCTAGTTTAGCATGTTTAAAAGTTATGATTACTTGCACATTTCTATTCTAAATTAAATTGTGTTTTTTCAGTTCAAACTCTGTGAAATGTATTATGTTGATGTATGAGCTTGCTCTGCTTATCAAAGACAGTCTCATATCATATAACTGCAGTTATCATAGTGTCATAGTGTCTAGCCTGAAGTGGTCTTCCTTGCTGACACAAGATTTAGGCTTAATTCCCCATTAATGCTGTAGATGGATTTTGTGTCAGAACTGCCTTATGTCTTCTGAGAACTGAGCGTGAGCAGAACGTGCCTATATCTAGATACAGTATGCCATTTAGGCTTATTTTTTTGGCTTCATTTTCTTTTTACATGGAGACTATAGAACTTGATTCCAGACTCTCTTGAAACAATTTAAATGTAGATCCTCACCAGGCAGTAGGAACCTTTTGAAAAAGTACAACCCCCTTTCTTTTGACTTATGTTTTTCCTTCTTTCTTGCTAACTTGTTGAAAGTTGGTTTCTATTAAAGTCACAAATAATTTTATTAGCTACAAAGTACAAAACTGTATTTAATAAAACTGCAATTACTAAATACACGAGAGTGACCTTTGCACCCTGGTTTCCAACACAGTACACTTTTTTAACAGAAATCTTTGGTAATTGTATTCTTATAAAAGTTAACAGTTTATTTCTGAACTGTGTTGCTATTTTTTTTCTTTACAGGTTATTATAAGTTTTAGTAAAGCATTTTGCAACACTGTAATAGAAAAGTGTGTTTGCTGTGTTTGTGGGCTGTAATTTGTACTGGGATTAAAACAGCCTCTGAGATCGCAGTGTTAGTGTTGATCCTTCAGACATTCCTGGCATGAGTGCTTTGCGTAGTCTTACTTTGCAGTGCAAACCTGAGACTCAACAGTGTGTGAGTTTATAAGAAACTACAATGCAATCTTTAACAAAACCTGGAATTTCTTGGAGTTTTGAAATGTGTTGTTCGCCTTTTCCACCTTTGCCTCCAACTTTCCACCTTCCCCTTCCTGCCCCCCCTGACAGGGATGGTTAGAAACACATTTCTTCTAATTTTCTATCTGTCAGACTATTCTTCTACTAACATATTCTTTTACCAGAGTTATTGGTGTATTTCTTTAGGTGAGATACCAGGAACCAGTTCTGTATTTAGATTAGATGGTATATATTCATCCTTTCTGCTGTTCTTGAACTGGAATTTCCTGGGCCTTGGTTAACTTCTCAGTTCATTGACTCGCTGTGTTGCCCTCTGACATATGCATGCTGTCATGCAGAATTTCTGCTTAGTTCAGGAGTTCTGTAACACAATGCCAGTTTTGTGCATTTTACCTTGTATATGACAGTCTCATGAAGAGCTGACCATAATTGGCAAAAAACAGTTCAGACCATAGAAGTAACTTTTGTTTGATAATGGTGAATATTCAGTTTGTAGAATCTTATTACACAGCTACTGACATACTCAAAGTAGATAAGCTTTTTATTTTTAAAACTGTAGAAACTGTTAGTTTTGCAGAAAATTAAATTTGTTTGTGATACTGTTCATGAATTTTGATTGAAAATGGACTAAAGATTATAATTTTCTGTGAATGCTCGTACTTACTGGAAACAATTAAACTTCTGATTGTGCATTAATTTCAGACACCAGTTGTCCCAACACTGGATAAAGTGCTAGAAGCTCAGCCTGAAAAGAGAGAGGCCATCTTGGATGAAATGAAACAGATTCTTACACCAATGGCACAAAAGTAAGGACAAAAATTGATTTAAGATGTGACAGTCTAGCATGAGCCAGTTTGTTTCTGACATACAAACAGGTAGTGATGTTGATACTCTTTTAAGCTGTAACATCGCTGCATTGGATAGTAAGTAACTATGGTGTTGTCCTAAAGTGTCATAATGAGTGTCTCACCTTAGTTTTGAACTCCACTTCTATAAGCTAAAGTGTTTCCTGCCCCAGCCAAACAATTGGTAGAAATCTCACAGTGTGGTATGCTTCCAAAATGCATTATTGGATAAGCCTTTCTAATGGTCTTTAGGAGAAAATATTTTGCTAGATTTTAGAGTTTGTAAGTTTTGGTAGAAACTTTCACATATTGTAAATGCTAAATATCTAATCCAGAATGACTGTGTGTTTTCTGCACACCACACTGCCTAACTTTTTTAAATACAGGTGAAGTATTGCTAGCTTATTTTAAAACTATTACTTGTGGGGGACTTTTTGCTTATTTTCCTCTTCCCAAATACAGAGAGGCTGTGATAAAGCACTCACTGGTACATAGAGTATTTTTGGACTTTTTCACTTATGCTCTTCCGAAACAAAGATCCGTAAGTATGTTTTGTTTGTTTTTTGTCTTCTTTTGCCTTTAAGTGAAATGTTTCTGATGTTGTCATTAAAGTGCTGTAAGGTAACTAGACAAAAACACACATCTTACATTTATAGAGTTTTACACACCTAGTGATTCCAGATAGATGATGGGGAAGTAGTGTTGCGTGGACATAGATAGTAACTGAACTTTCACATTAAAGCAATAGTGTCTGTGATATTTGAATTTAAAAAAAAAATCTAATTGAATATCTGATGTTTTTTCTCTCCCTGCTAAATGGTCCTTCTCAATAGCTGTGGAATAGGTAAAGCCAGGAACATTGCTTCCACTAGTTTATCTTTCCATTGTGTGGTAACCACTTCTAGCCATTGTCCAAAAAGTTATTGACCAAAATACAAATCAGATTGACCCCTCTGTCAGCAACCAAAACTTTCTCTTCTGCTTCCTCATGAACCAAGTATATGGCTGGTATCTCTGTGTCTATAATAAATTCCAGTTTTAAGCTTACCATAGCCACAGTTGCAAAAACTAGGCCTAAATCCACCTGTGTGATGTGACATTGTATAAGCTGGTGTCCTGCTTGGCTTCACTTGTCTTCAAGCGGTGTCCATCAACCTCACCCTGGTTCTGCAGTTCAGCAGCATCTCACTCCAGGCCAGGTGGAGCTTTCTGGACTTGCTGTCTCTTTCCTACTTCTGCTGGACTGGACTCCTGAACTCTTCTTTGTTACTGTTATCGAACACAGAGCTAAGAGTAGTGAGGTAGGCTATTCATGGCCTATTCTGACTTTAGATCTTACCTAATTAAATATTTCTGTGCATGGTTTCATGTAGCGCTTTTTCAGGGAATGCTTCTAGATTCACGGTCTTGTGTGAATTGGAGTAAGGGGATACCTCTTCTTCCTTGCTCAGGCTTTTTGTAGAGACATGGTAGCATATGGATATTCTCTTTGGAAAACCCTTTTGTAGGCCTGTTCTTGCCTGTGCATATAGCTAGTGACACTAATCATGTTGTGACGGAGCAGTTTCTAAATAAATAGTAAAATGTTTGGAACCTCTAACTAGGGAGCAAGAGGAAGCTAGAGACAGAAAGGGAGATAGATGGGAGCTTCATGTCAGAGAAATCTATCAGATAATAACAGTAGTATCTAGTAACCCAGGAGGGTTGGTTTGGGTTTTTTTGTTTGTTTGTTTGGGCTTCTTTAGCTTGGTTTTATTTTTGGTTTTTGGCTAAGGGTGTTATTTGTCAGATGGCTTCAGAACCTCATTCCTTTGATATGAAGACTTAACTTTTGGCTGCACCTTCTCATATCTGATTTATCACCTCACCTGGTGCTTAAATGACCTTTTAGTTCTTACTTTCTGGCTAATACCCTGTATGTATAAATAAATTGCATCACCTTCAAAGATTTTCTTCCTAAATGAACAGTTGTCTTTGTCTCCTCTAATTCCTGTCTCAGTTCTGAGTACCCTTCCTTGAATTTTCTGTGATAGGACAACTGACAAGCTTCAATTCTCATTTCATAGGATGAATATGATGAACAGTGTAGTTTTGAAGCAAAAAAGCTTATGTCATTTGCAGTCTTTTGGACTCCTTTTGTGGCTGTTTTTCATTGGTCAAGACAATGAGAGTGGTTCTGTAGAGCCAGTGGTGCTCTCTGTATTGTCTTGGGCAGACAAAAAATCCTTCCATGCACTTAACCACCTGCCTTGAGATTTCTCAGGCCTTTTCTTTCTAATTTTTGCTTTATCGCCTTTTCTTCCTCAGGAAATGATAGAAGCTATCAGAGAGGCAGTCATCTACCTGGCACACACTCATGATGGAGCCCGAGTAGCAATGCACTGCTTATGGCATGGTACTCCCAAGGTATTGTTTGATTTCTGTCTGCCCAGCCCTCTTTAATAATAATCTAGACTGAGACTGTGAATATAATTAATTGCTCACATGGGCCCTTCTGCCAGTAAACCTTTTGACACAGTTAAATATTTGATAGCGAGGTTAAAAAGTGGTCTAACTTTATGTATTGATAAATATATATAAGTGGTAGGTTTTTTGTGAATTAAATGAATCCACTAGAACTTTTGTAGTGGAAGCATCTCTTTATTTTTAGCAGCATTCTTGGAGATGATGGGTAAATGTCTTCCATTTTAAGATTATTGTCCATTCATTCATCCTGTAGATTTCTTAATGGAGGTGAAAAAGGCAGTAAGGAGAGGACAGTAAAGAAGTCATAATGTGGAAAAATGTTTGGCTTTGGAATACCAAGATTTAGAAAATGTTACAGGAACTGTGTTTTAGTTTTTTCTGCTGATACAGTATCCTGAAATACTGAAGGTGTAACATATGCCAACATCTGTTGGAAATATTGCAATGCCAATGTCCTGGGTTTGAGTGGTGGGGTTTTTTGGTAGCAGGGGTGGGGGCTAGAGGGCTGGCCCCCTTCTATATTTTTCTATATAAAAAAAAAAAGACAACTTATGAAAACAGTCTGCTTGTTAAAGAGTGAAGAAAAAAATATGAAGTTGCTAGGACCTAGGGGTAGTAATGGTGTAAAGAAGACTGAGCAGTGATTGCAAGATCCAAAAGTACAAGCACTGAGGAAACTTTCTGCCAAAAAAATCTTGCTAGCAAAGGGGTTTTGCAACAGTCCTCACTAAAGATTCAGGTCCTGTTGAGTAAGTTTCTTTCCAAATGAAGAGTTGAAGTGTATTCTTCTGAAAGCAGTGAACAAGATACGGGTGAACATATCTGGTGGTTTGATTTGTTTGGTTTTGTTTTTTCAAGTTACCCTTTTTGTCATCTCTCCTTGGTGACTGGTCTTGTAAACATATCACAAAACCTCCCTGGGACTGATTCTTTCACAGTTCAGGTTTAACTCTTCACACTGTTTCTAGGTGTTGACTAATAGTACAAATGTAAGACTTTGGTAAATAGCCTTTGCTTTAGTAAGCAAATTGAAGGTTATATTTTTTTAAGTTATAAGTAACAGTTTCGTTATTCAGAATCACTGGCACTATAGGCTCATTCAAGTTTCTTGTTTCCTTCTGGATAGGACAGAAAAGTCATTGTGAAAACTATGAAGACATATATTGAAAAAATAGCAATGGTGAGTGTTCATTAACCATTTATTTCATAGTTTCTGAAACAAGTGATTTGATAGAGGCTAATTTGAATGTACTTTGGTACTGAAAACAACTATGAGATCTTAATAAAACTAGGTTTAAAATTGTGGTGATATATTAGATAATATGAAATATATTGAACTACATGGAATATTTAGAAGCATACTGAGAAGCTTCATTGTGGGCACTATATGTAGTAATACGCTTCTGTAAAGTAGCTGAGTTAATTATAAGTCCTAAATTTTATTTCTACAATTTTTTTTTTTTTAAGCCTGACTGTGTTGCATCTTCATATGGTTAATTCTCCTTGGTTGGGAGTAAAATAACATGTATACAGAAGAGGAACAGAAATTAAGATTTGTTGGGGATGTCATTGGAAAGGCCATTTGGATGTCCATATTTCTTATATGATGCTCAATAAATTTTTTTAAACCAGAAAGCTTCACAATTAATTAATGCTGAAGTGACATACAATGGAAGAAGTCTGTATTTAATTTTTTTTTCTGAGTAATATATATGTTTGAAGACTGCAGCACCAATAGAGTAAGAGTTGCAACTAGATTTTGTAGTGCTAGACAAAACTGCACTTGTGATGACAAGCTTTTTAAACTTCTTGCCTCCCTGCTTGCTGTGTTGTTCTGTTTACTGATAGTTGAGTGGTCTCAATCAGTGATCTCCAAATGTTTTTGATCACACAACACTGAGCATGCACCCCAAATATATGCATATTTATGTATAAATTATGTACAGGTACTACTATGTTAATATACGTTCTAAAACAAACCGAAATAGAAGTTGGAAAAGGGCAATATGAAGACAACCACTGGTTATTTATAAATATTTATTAATGGTACAAAAATTATTTTCTTCCTACACCACAGTGGATTGTCTTGCATGTCCCACTTTGGAAACCACGAGTCTAAGTAATGTTTCTCTCCATAATTTTCTAGTACCAGAATAAATGAGTTCTTACATTTTACAAAATGCATATTACATAGAAATGTGCAACAGTGGGTAAATAATCGCTAAAACAACACTGGAACACTGAAGATTTGGCTTTACTTTGACATAGAGTCTCACTGACGAACAAGTGAATTGGGTTTTGCCCTTTTGAGACTTGCTCTCCAACAGTGCAGTAGAGACTGTATGGCTCACTGCAAAGACACGATCTCCAAAAATACAGTTTGTGATTTACCTCAGTTTTAAGCAGATCCACCATAGAAATAAAATCTGTATGTTATGTTCCTGTAAGGCAAATCCTGTGATTTCAAATTATGATTATACAGTAGGACTAAGTTAACAGTTTGGGTGTGATAAAGCATTATATCAACTTAAAATGGCAGGTCAACTTAAATCTACCTTTATTTTAACAACCTGCTTCTCTTAACAAGCCTTGCTTTCAGAGAGAGCCTAAGTGTTGGGCTTTTCTCGTTCCGTGACAGTAGACAGAATTTGCTTGTGGTTCACGTTGTGTCATGTTTCAGACAAACTAAGAAATGTTGATTCTAAGTTAATTAGTATGTTCCTAGAACTTGACTGCATGTGGTTTCTGATGTCTCATCTTTGCAGGGTGAATTTTCTCATCTGGTCTTGCTGGCAGCATTTGATTGCATTGATGACACTAAACTTGTGAAACAGTTAATTATATCAGTAAGTAATTGAATTTTTCCTAAAATAGTATACTAAATTGTGTCAGTGTGTGTGTCAGTGTGTTTGTCAGTGTATAGGAGGATGAGAGTAGGAATACATCTGCTTTTTTTCAAACCATTTAATTCCTTTTCACCTTTTCTGTTTCATTATATTTGTGTATCATTATTACACCTTCATAGAAGACCTCAGCACTTTCATATGCTCTCTTTAGTTATTTATTTGAATTAGTTTTTGAGCTAGATTCAGTGCTTGCTGAAAATTACCCTTTTTGTACATGTTAATTTGGCTACTGGATGACTGGAATCTATTTAAAGTCAGTGCCTTTGTGATAGAAATTTGAACTCTGCTAATATTCAGATTAATTGGTGGACAACTTTAGAATGAGGATGTTACCCTATCCCTTCTACAGGCAAACCTAAAATGTCAAGAATGTTTGTGCCTAGCATGTCCTTTCTGTGCAAACTCCTTACTGTAAAAAAGGTTGTTCAGCACATTTAGCCATTTTCTTTTGCAGAAGTAGCATCTTGGAAAGTAATACTTCAAGATAAACTGTAATAAACTTTCTGGAACATGGCAACAGGCCAGACTATACTATACCGTTACTTCAAAGAAGAAAAAATACTTGTCGTACTTCTGTTTGGATGCTGAAAACATTAACTCACATTAATTCTCAAAACTTGACATTTTAATTAATATGTTGATAATCAAATGTCAACTACCATTCTGGATAAAATCCATTTAATATTTTTATCTTGCTTCCAAAATGGATACAGGTAGATGTCTAAAACATGAGAGCACTCTAGCTGTTTTGCTTCACCTACATGGGATTGCAGAATGAAAAGTAGGGATAGTATGATCTAGTCTGCGTCTGCTTCCTTTTGGAATGCCCAATTTCCTCACCTTCCCTCCAAAAGTTATTTACCTGGGTTTCATAAAGTGTTTATACTTAAGATTATATTTACATGCAAATTTTATCACTTCTAAAATATTTTAATCTGTAAATTACCATAAAGTTATGTTTTCACTCTGATAAAAGAGACTTCATAGTGCACAGCTAATTTTCGTGAAAGCATGATTATTAATGTTGATGTATAGGTTGTAATGTGCTTATAGCAGAACTCAGCTTTTAGGACTGATGGGTAGAGAGGCAGTGGCAAGAAGGTAAAGATGAGGCAAATACTCTGCATGTGAAGGAGGAATGTGAGGAGAAAGCAGTTATGATGAGTCTTGCTTTAAAAAATATGAACAGTTCTTCCATTAAGCAACTTTGTATATGAGGGAATTGGGTTTCTGTACCCTATCGTGGAGATTTGACCCTAAGTTTGTGCCTCTCTGGTGGGTGTAGAGAGATGAAGGCATGTCAGTGTGGAGATGGCTTTTTTTTCTCAGGTATATTAGCTGTAATCACAGCTGGGTTTTGTTTCCAGAGTCCAGTCTGCAATGTAGCAACTTCCAGGCAAGTTCCAAGCAAATATGCCCTGACAGATCAGAGCTGTCTTGGTATGAGATCTCTGGGGCGTTCCTGTGGTATGTTAGAAACGCTGTGCTTTCTGGAGGATTTATTAGTTCAGATACTGTGTTTGGCTTTAGCTGAGCTTCCAAGGTGTCATTAAGTTCCTGAATCACATGTGTTTTTCCACCGTATGAGATCAAAGATAATGGAATATTTACTGTTTGGTCATCCTATCGCATCAATCTGGACAGAAGAGTAAGGAGAATAAGGAGGAGCGACCTTCACACATACAGAATTGGCCCATCTCAGTTTATATGAGGTCAGGAACAGGGAAAGGATGTCAGGGAAAAGGCAAACAAATATGAGATAAGATCAAAACCAGCTCTTCAGACGGCAAATGAAAACAAGTAGGAGAGGATGAGGTGAAAGCATCTAGAAATGAAGCATTGAAGCATACTGTATAGAAGAATCCAACCCTTAAAATGATCTTAGAGAGCAGTTAGATTTCTAAAACACCTTATACACCTTATCATTCTTTTCATACTAAAATTTCGCTTAAGGAATGTAAGGAAAATAATAAATACTGGGGGGAACTAAAAGCAGTGTTTGTGCAAGTCTTTTGGGGTTTTTTTGTTGTGATGGTTTTTTTTTGTTTTGGTGTGTTTTTTTTTTTTTTTTGTGGTGTTATAAAACTGATCACTTACGTGGATTGGCAGAATGGCTAGGAATTTGTTTAAGCTTTTTTAAATCTTTGAGGGAAGGTCTTTCCTTCTCATCGTGTCTCAGCTCCAAAGAGTCTTAACCCAGGATGAAAGAACATATATGCTGCTTTAAACCTTCATATGTGATTAGAACTGTACACTGTGAGCTTGGCATGTGTCAAGATTTGGGCAGATTTTAGTGGGAAATCCCTCTCTTTCATGATGATTCCAAGCAGGCAGTGCCAGGGAGATGTTTACCAACAAGAGACAGCATACCTGTGTGGTTTAGAGTTTCTCTTGGTACTTTTTCACAGTTCTGTCACTGAAAGTGACCAAATTCTGTAATTCACGGGAGTCACATAATCAGTGGAGGAAATGAACTTTTGGAGGGTTTAAAGAAAAATGTGTCTATTACCTTTTATGCAAAATGGCTATGTTATAGGTTGATTTCAAAGCACAAATTATTTTTGTGTTTATTTGTAATAATTATTTTCTTTACCTGTTTTAAGTTTTGAAATATTTCAGCACTTTTGTCATCCCTTTAATTGATAAATGAACTTCACATACGTCTGAATTTGAATGCAGATGCTGAGAAGACAGAACATGGTTTTGGTTGGAGTATGAAAGTTACAGTAATAGGTTCTTATTCATGGTTATAGTGCTGCATCAGACTGATACTCACCTCAGATTACCAAAACTCATTTTCAAGTAGGTTTAAGCAATGTTTTTGAAATAAGAGCATTGTCTTACCATTTCCTACCAGCTTCTGAACACCTTTCTCTGTTTCTCTTCCATTCAAAGACAACGAACCAGGCCCTGGTATACATTGTTCTATTTATATTTTTCTAGAAGTTGCTGGAAGGATTTTCATGGTGGAAAAAAAGGGGTTTTAAGGACTATGGCCTGCAAAATATGCTGAAAGTGCCCATGGCTCTCTACAGCCCTTGTTTTGCTTTGATAATCATGAATTTTATATATTAAAAGTTGCCAGGAATGCATTATCATAATGGTCAAGAGTATCTGGATGGTATTCAGTATTCTCCAGTGGTAAATGGAAATAGCATAAAATTCATGTTGATATGTGAAAGGGCATTTGTTGAGAAACTTACAAAAATTTTAGTACAAACAGATAGACTAACATAGGTGCTACCAACTGAATATAGCAGCATGCTTTTATAAGCAAGAAAACTCCCTTGCATATTAATGCATTTTTTCCTCCCACCGTGTTAGTGCACAAGTATATGATGTGCCCACTGTGTGGTTTACAAAGTGGTTACTGTAGCCAGCAACTAACCTGTGGGGAATACCCAGTGTTTTCTGTTAACACTCAAGAAAACCTGAAAATAATACTTCCAGCAGAAGTCAATTTTATTCTATTATTGAAATTTAATTTTTCTTGGTGAATGTTCTGTGATCAGTTTAAGATGGACTTTTCCTTCCCATAGACTGTCACTGCTGTATATAGTTTTCCTTTCCTAAGCTTTGCATTTGAATGGTAATCAGTGATTACTGATGTCTCAAAACTATTTTCATTAATGTTTTGTTGCTGCTTGTTTACTTTTACAGGAAATAAATGCTTCTTTGCCCGATATAATAAACAACAAGTATGGGAAGAAGGTCTTGTTGTACTTGCTAAGTCCTAGAGACCCTGCACATTTTGTTCCAGAAATCATCACACTTCTGCAACAGGGAGATGGAAATGCCTATAGGTAACTCATATATGAAGGTCAAATTGTTTTCCCTAGAGTCCAGAAGAGTTCATGTAACTTTCTGTCATAATTGATTTAACTTCATTATAATAATGAATTTTCTTTATAGTATATTTAAGTAATGTAAATATATACAAATGATACATAAGTATTATTAGATATGTTAAACTGTAGACCTTATTTTTGCATTGTTGGTTTAAAGTTCTGATATGATGATTGGTGACCAGCAGTATATTGGTGATCAGCACCTTGCCCCCTCTGTAAAGGGCAAAAATTGTGATGTGTTCTTTGTTTAAACTCCTATATCAAATTTGGTGTAGCAGAAAGTTTTTAATATGTATTACTGGTGTTCTGAGTTGCATAAAAGTATATCTCAAAATCTAGCAATAAAAATGGAACTTGTTAATTTGAATTCAGTCTCTGTCTGCTATTGACATTGATGCTTATCAGCTTTTGAAGAAGGAGCAATTTTAGATGATTAGTGAGCTGTTTAAGAAATTGCATCTCAGTAGTTGAGATAACAATGAATAGAAAATAAACAGGTTAAATTGTTGTTAACAAAACCCTTAAGAGGCCTACTGGCAGTCAGCTTTAAACACTACATTTTCTCACTCCATATGTTCTTAAAATGTGTGTGCAAGGTAGGTTTAATTGTATGTGAAACAGGGAAGAATAATACTTCATTTTGATCTTTCAATAATTTGTACTTGTCTCAAATAGTATACATGTTCTTAATTTCTTATTGCTTGATATGCATACAAGAGAAGTCTTCTACAGTAATGTGCTGTCTCTTTCATCAGTAAGAAGGATACTGAACTCCGACGCCGTGAACTCCTGGAAGCCATTTCTTCACCTTTGCTAGAATATTTGCAAGAACATACCCAAGAAGTAGTGATAGATAAAACTACCTTTGTCTTGGTCGCTGACATCTTAAGAACAGCTCCTGGTGACATACAGCCTGCACTAGATGCAATTGCTAATTTAGCAGCAGAAGAGCTGGTTCCAGGTGGTCGTGATGGTCAGGTAATGTAACAGAGGACAAGGTGCTGATTTTGCAGGTTGTTTGCTTATTTGGTATTACTAAAATGAAGTCCACCCACTTTCTCCTTTACATAAGAAATCACTGTACTGCCCTGATAGCACTCATACATAAGACATGATCTCTGTTTTCTGACATTTTCCATTAATAGTTTATTATTACTGTATCTGAAGTGATGAAGGCTTGACCCAGCATTTCATCTGAGTTGTAGAGCAAAATACTTTATGATCTTGAGTCTTCAGAACTACTTTAAACACTTTGTGGGAAGGTAGCTGACGATCATGTTTCACAGTCTCTCTTTTAATGTTATCACTGTGCATTCAAGCAGCTAGTAGATTTTTATAGTTCATTTGACTGTTTACACTGAGAATGATAGGGTCTCTTAGCTTTCAGGTATGTATATCTCCATGCAAGGAAAGATCTTATCTAAGAGCTGTTTGTCTTTACAGTATGACCTTCTATTTGAAGTATATCCCTCCCCTATTTTGTTGAGTTAAGCTCAGTCACATATGTGTCTGTAGACACTATATTTAAGACAGACGCCCTCCAGATCTTCATAGTTGTGTTGAAGTTGCTTTGTCTTTCCCCTTCTTTAAGATACGCATTTTACAGAATTACATATGAACTACTCATGTTTTCTGACATTTTCTGTGAACCATAGTGTAGTGAATTTTCAAGTCTATGAAAGTGTGGGAAGTCTGGAAGTTCTTGTAGAGGCAGCTAAACCAAGAGATTCTGCTCAGTAAGCACAAAGTGCTTGGAGGGGTGGGTGAAACATTGGTTGATATCGTTTGTATTACTGAAATTCAGATGTTACAGGAAAGGTGGTAAAAACTAAACTGGTCAATTTAAATAAGTATTCAGATACTTGCATAAAACTTGATATTTACATAGGTGATGACTAAATGGATCAGTGTGATATGGTGTCTGAGGGCAGAGTGGATAAAGCAAGGAATATTTATGGACAGACATGTAACTGCATTTTGAAACATTGTCATTAAATAATTTGGTGTTGGTTTGGTTTGATTTTTTCCCCCTTAAAGCTTCATATTGCAGAGCATCCAGCAGGCCATCTAGTTTTGAAATGGTTAATAGAGCAAGATGAAAAAATGAGAGAGAGTGAAAAAGAAGGTATGTTGGAAATTCAGCTTTATTTGATCAAATTATGAATTCACAGTAATCAGTTATCTGACCTAAAATAAGATTGCTGCATTTATTTCTTTGAATATACTAATATACGGAAAATTTAACATAACGCCTAAGACTATTGCTTCTTTTTGCTGTTGTGAGCTGTTTTATGAACGGAATGCAAATGATACATTTGTTTTTTTCTGCACAGCAATACAGTTCTCTTTTTTTTCTTGGGGGTTTACTATGTATTTGGGACAGGGTTCATTTCTGTGCATAGAATGTCTTGATAGCTTTGCTAAATTACACATCAGTTTAAATTATAATAATAGAAAAAGTAAAGTCTATCTAACAGGGAGACTTGTTTAATTAGTGCTGTGAGCCAAACTGTAGTCTTCACTGTGTTCTTTAGTGCTGCTGGGTTAATGCTTTATAACTTATTAAAGTATTTCATGCACAAAACTATCTCTGTTACTTTATGTCCCAGAAGGCAGAGATTGGACACAGATGTTCTCATCTTAATTTAGATTTTAAACTTATTTTATTACCTAACTGTAAAATATTGTTGTATGAATCACCATATCCTAATAGATACTACTTTTTCTCATTAAAAAAACCCTTAAAAAATGAAAGGAGATGGATGTGGCATAGTATAATCTGGAAGGAACTACGCTGTGTGTAGGGGGCTTTTTTCTTTGTAGAATGATCAGACCTTGTTAAAGTTTTTTCCCTCTATTCCTTTTTTTTTCTTCTTCTTACTACATTCAGGTATCTGCTATTTAATGTAAAAATAAGAGTTAGTAGGGTTTTGTTAAATGCTTCTGAAAGGAGGCTGTTTTGCTACTTCTCAAGTGGATGATTAAAAATGTGCAAAGGGGAAGTTTTATGAGTCTCTTCCATAGGCTAGCTTAACCAAGGCTATGATAGTTACCTGGACTTATTTCTGCTAAAAGTGTGCAATTCCTATTTTAAACACAAGTGGTTCCCTTTGGTCTTTTTGTTTTCCTCCAAAGAGTGAGCCATTCAGAATTGTTGCTCTAAGTTTATGGAATTGACATTAAAAAAGAACCAAATTGTTATCACGTAGGCAACAAGTTGAATAAAAACTTCTTCAGATGAAATTCTGATCAAAAGTGACAGTGAAAAATAGCTTCAGTGTTTGTGTGAAGGTTGGAGTTTGTTGGGGTTGGGTCTGTTTCTCTGGGTTGCTCACAGATAAGTTTGCTCAACATACAAGTTGTAAGAGCAGTTTTCCTTAAGTTCAGTTTTTAAAATTCAGCTGAGGTCTTGAGGTCAGCATAGGTTCTTTCTTTTGGATATGCCATTAGTATAATGAACCTGCAAGTCAACTTAAGCTTTCAAAGCTACTGAGGAAAGAGCCCTGTAGCGTCAGTACAGCTGAAAGAAACAAGTTTCCTGGTGGTTTTCATGCATCAATAAAGCATTATCTCTGATGTTTTAAGTAACTTCATCTGTGAAAATTCTGTTTCTTCACTTGTAGAGTCAGATGCTTAAAACTTAGCATTTTTCGGCAGAGGTGTGTATGTATTAGCATATTTCATATAATTATCTCTTGTGTTGGTGTCATTCTTACCAAGTTCTTTCTTTGGAGTGGATGCCTTCTTTAAGACATGAATAGCCTTTGACACCCTCTTAAAAAAGAAACAGCAAGTTTGCTTGCGTTATACTGGTAAACTGTCACACAGTGCTGCTGGTGTCTTAAGTAATTTCAAGCAATACTTGGAAGTAGTCAAACATCTATAAAGGTATTCATAGTCAATTATTCAATAGTTAGTTACGTTGAGAGAACAAAATTTGTGAGTACTTGGTGGCTTAAATCTGTTTTATTAAATCACAACTGCAGAGAACTTTTAACAGGCTTTTTTATATAAAGATACTAATTTTTTCCTTCTCCCCAACCCTCTCCCACATTTTACAGTTTGCTTTGGAAGAACATTGGTGGAACGTGTTGGTATTGAGAATATGAAAACCTGGGCAGAAGTAAATCGAGGTGCCATTATTCTTTGTTGGTATGTAAGGCACATGACTATTTTTGATTAGGTTCTAGTGTTAATTACTTGAACATCTAAGGGAACATCAGCTGAAATTTCTACCAGCAAAATGCCATTTTTTGCTCCATGTGTGCAGTCTTTCATGCCACTGGTAAGTCTGCAATGGAACAGGGTAGTGGAAAAATTCAAACCACAGTTTCTGTGGATTGTTACTTGAGCTTAGGCTTTTGCAGCACTAGGAAGTAGCTCAATGTTGTAAAATCTTAAGATAAAAAATCAAATTTATTTTTAAAATTGTGCCTACCATGTCTTGTTTTACAAGCACAAAATTCTTAAGAGCGGTCAGCAGATATCTACATTAAAATAAGTAATCCTGAAATACCTGTGACTGGTGGCAGCATACAAGAAGCCAAATTTATTTTTTTTCTTAGCTTACTGCTTTGTGTTGATACCTTAATTATGGAGCCTCAGTATGTCTCATACTGAAGCAGAAAAGTGTTTGTGATAGACAGTTCAAAAGAACAGACCATGCAAAGGCTTATGATGAGCTAACTGGCTCACAGCTTTGAAGCATTGAACCATGCAACTGGTGAGATCAGGAAGACCCCACAGGAATCAGACTAACATTAACATTTTGTTTTATCAAATGTGAACAGCTGTGTTAATCATCGCTGTTTTCAGTTTGTAACTACCTGTCAATGTCAGGTCATAGAAACCCAAGGTTTTGTGTTTAGCCCAAAGTGTGTGGTCTGTGTTCTGGAACTGCTGGGTCAGGATTGCACTGCTTCTGAGCCAAAATCAACAAACAATTCAAACCGACAACATAATTTTGAAAAAGAAAAACCTCTTCTTTTTTTCCGCCTCACTTCTCTTTCCTAAAGTTACTTTAGACTTCTTGCTCTTTGCTTTCCATCTTTGTTCTTTATGACTTTAGATTGAGGCTACTTTGACATTCATGCTCTTTTGCAAGGTGAATGGGAAGCTGTTTTCACTAATAGGACTTTCTGAGTTTGATTCTAACTTTGTTTAGTCATTATTCAGAGCACTAGTGAGAAGAATTGGTAGTAGAATAGTAGTTGCAATACAGATACAAAACCAGTTTATGTAACGTCATCATATGGATCTTGTTGTTAAGATTGTTCAGCTGCTAAAATGATAATACCTTTTCTTTACCTCTCATAACTGTCCTTTAGAGTTCAATAAATGCATCTAAGTTATCTGATCCTGCACACAGATGTTCAGTAGAGATTTGTTACAAAGGCCTGTTCAGTGTATTAATGCTTTGACTTTTTTCCCCTAACTTAAGGCTGAGGAATTTCATTTAATATGTGGTATTGCTGGTTTATGTACTAAGCTATTCTGATTGTCCAAATAAAGTTACAAAGTAAATTAGTGGAATTTTTTCCATGTGTAACACTTTAATAGCTATTTAACTGTCACCATGACAGCAGTCTCTTAATAGGCGTTGAAGACTTACATAAAAAACAGGAAACTAGTAATTGCTTATTGGCAAAAACCAGCACAGGAGCGGCGTATTTTATGGAAAAGTCTGTGAGGAATGTCAGTCTTTCCCTCTCTCTGCTATTACTCATGGCACTACAGGGTGGGGCTTCAACAGGTGTGCAGGGGACCTTATGTCCCAGATTGGCAGTCAGACATTTTCACCAATACTGAAACTCACCTAACAGGAAGGAAAGATAAAACTATGGGGGAGGAGTGTTTGTTTGTTTGCTGGAATTTTGTTTTTAGGTTTGGGTTTTTTTTTAATTTTAATTAAATCTGAATCCTTTGTAGTTTGAGCTTCTCTTGATGACTCTTTAAACATGACACCTTTTTGTTTAGGCAGCTGAGAACACGTGAACATAACCAGCTGCTTTTGTTCCTTTTCATGTGATACCTGCTTACCTCCCTAACACATAGTAATTAATCTCATCTTTGTTTAACTGTATGCATTGAAGTGGAGAGGCTACCTACATCGTATAGTAATGATAAATCTAGTTTAGTCTGGTGTAGATAATAAGTGCGATATTTTTTTGCAAAAAAACAATTGTCGAGTTTTAAGAATCCTTCTTATTTTAAAAAAACATTCAAATAGTTTGTAAAGAAGCTCATATCCCTCAGACAGAGGTAATTTTCAGATGCTGCCAGTTCTCCCTGAAGCTATGATAGATTTTTGTTTTGTTGTTGGCTTTCAGAAGCCATCTGTCACTTATGTACAGATACAAAATTTAGAATTACCCAGTCAGTTGTACCCAGTACATTTGAAGATTTGTGGTTTTCTAGTCCTTTAAGCTTATTCACCAGTTATGAGCAGTTAGCTGTGTGTATGTGATTGCTTATTTACCAGATATCCTCTGGACCCCCTCCTTTCATTGCCCTAATTGCTTTTAATTTGATTTTTATAAAAAAGTCTGGGGCCTGTTTCTGACCTATTACAAGTGTGAAGAGTCATAAGATAATGAGAGGGCTCTTTGCAAACAGTACAACCCATCTTAATGTAAATAAATTGTTGTAAATACTTCAGTGTTGGGGATGCTGGTCTACTTACATTTTTACATCTGGCCTCTCAGTATTTTTGAATTTGTCAATGATGTGTTACATCAGGGTAGAAAATGGATAAAAGTATTCTTCACCAAATGACTTAATGATTTCCATGTCATTTCTGTAATGTGTAAAAGTTATGTTTTGTATCAACAAAATATAATAATTGCCTGCTTTCCAGATCTTAGAATACTGTCAGAATAAGAATTTTAAAAACCTCAAACAGCTATGTTGTTTTTTTGGCTGCATTATCAGACATGTAGTTGTTCTATATTAAAAATACGGTGTCTTGAAATATCTGCGGATACCAAGATTTTGAAAGGAGCTTTTCATGTATAGTTGTTGCCAGAGTAAATTAATTTTTAGAAATATATAAAATACAGTCCAGAGTGGCTTGCTGCTTTGTATGCTCTTTGTCTCTGGTGATGAGCCATGTGAATCTCTCAATGTTAAGTACCAGTGTGTTCAGCACATCCTTTGTCGGTACTCTTGACCTTCTGGCTGTTATCAGGGGTACATGACTCACAGAAAAGGTGAAAAAGTATCACCCTGTGTTGAATTCAGTTTTAAAGAGGGCCTCTTGATGAACTAGTACTGTCATAGCTAAAAGTGTAACAGAAGTTGCTGCCAGAAGTTGTTAGTCATAGTTGTAGAAATAAATCTAGGAGCAAAGTAGATGAAAATAGTGGCTTTGTCAGATGGGCATTGCATGCTTTACTGACTGCAGCATTGCCATCTTTCACAGGATTTGGAGTCCTAAGGGGGCCAAATTTAAATCTTAAGCTGCATTAATTCCTTTTATGTCTTACTTAGTTCAGCTTTCCACATCTAATCCTTGTTTAAAAACTAGGCAAGAAACAAGCTTTTAGGTAGCTGCAAATCTGGGAGCTGTTTGGAAGAATCCTAGGGATTGTAAAGATTTGTAATATCATGCTGGGTACCAGTACATGGGTGTTACAGTTTGTTTCCAGTCTTAGTTTATTTGTATGCCAGTGCAGTTTGTCATTCTGTTCTGGATTGCACACATTGGCTGTAGAAGACAGTAAGTTTTTTAGGCAGTGTTCACTCATCATTTTGAAGTAGCAAATTAGGTGTGCCATTACCTCTACTGATTTTGTACTATAATCCAAGAACATTTCACCATTACCCAAAGGAAGCAGGGGAAGGATGATCACTGCCTAGGTTGATCTGGATAGTGCAGAAGCTTTTTCTTTTCTGATAGTATTTTACAGCTTACAATGAATTTCCTTGGTTTTGAGGAAGAAAAGTTATCAGGGAAAGCTGGTTTGTTTGGTAATATGTAAAGAAGAACAGAACTGGTAAGGCTCTGTAGTCCTGCGCTAAATGAGTCGTGGAAGTACAATAGTGAAAGCACTTGACGTGTGTTAGATGTTCTTCACTGCGTTGAGTTTTAGCACCCCCATTACAAGATGGGTGTCAACAACTGGAGCGAGTTTAATAGAGTGTGACCAGCATGGTCATGGGCTGGATCCCTTGGCCTGGGAGGAGGGGCTGTGGGACTGGGCCTGGTTCACCTGGGAGAAGGCATGGCTTTGGGCGCGCTGAACATCATCCCCGGCACTGACAGGAAGGGATGGAGGAGAGCTGGGCTCTTCACAGCAGTGTGAGAGTGACTGGAGGGCAAGAGGCAGTAGCCCAAGCTGAAACATAAGCGGCTCAGGCTAGAGATAAGGAGAAACCTTCTCCCCACAAGGACAGCCCAGCAGTGACCCAGGGAGATTGGGCTGTCTCCTGTGTCGGGGGGAGTTTCAAGCTCACACTGGGTGAAGCCCTGATCAGTCTGATCTGGCCTAATGTTTGAACCTGCTTGTGTGTAGGGATCTGCAGTTCTTTCCAGTTTGATTTATCCTGTGTTGGTTGTGTTCTCACTTGGTGTTTCATGCTTTCTGGAAAGTTCTACATATTTTTCTAATAGGAGGTAATAGAATATGCCCTGAACTGTATTCTTCCTAAATAGTTATTATTTCCTTACCTGGACAGCTTCTCTTCCTATGACATACATACTGACCTTTGACATCCTTGTTTTGTTTCCTGTTTCTTATAGCCTTCTCCGGAGTGCTGATCAAAAAGTGGCAAATACAGTCAAAAAAGGACTGAAAAAGCTTGTCCCAAAGTTGAAGCTGAATAAAAATGTAAAAGGAATAGAAGCATTACTGGAGAAATTGACTTCTTAGTGTAAATGAAGCCAAAAAGACAATTTACATCAGTGCAACCAACCAAGAGTTGGTAAGATTTTGCAACATGGTTGTTTTAAAAATCAGTGTATGCATTTGTAAATTAAATAATTTCTAAAATGATTTGTCTGTTGTACTTATTCTGTTATGTGTAGCAAATTGTTGTTCAGAGATTCGAATCTCAATAAGATTTAAGAGCTAGTGGAAACTTCTGAACGTATAATCAAGAAGTTAAATCTTTCCTGATAACTAACACAAAAATGTTTTGAGTCTTGTTAGAATTTACGTGTATGTTGTCGTAGTTACCATAGAAACAGAAGCATCTGCTCTGGAGATACTGTGTACTGGGCAAATACACTTGTTCTTAATCCCCTTCCCTCCTGGTTTCCTCAAAACACAAAGCAGAAAAACAACTCAATTCCCATTTTTATCCTGTGAAGAAATGATGGAGGCTCTCATCCTTCGGGGATTAATAAGAATAGAATAAAAAAGTCCTGAATAAATAGAATAAAAAAGTCCATAGAATAAAGAAGGTCCTGAAGGAGAGGCTGACTATTTCAGTGGACCACAGTTTGGTTTTATTTTTCTTAAGGCTTCCGAAAAGTACAGACTCTTAGGACGTAATAAAACAGAAGGATTGGGTGGTTTTTTGGTATCTTCCTTGTAATAGGGGAGGGAGGAATTTACTTCTGCATGATATCAAATAAGTGTCCTATTGATTTCTACTGTACTCTATTTTGATCTAGAAAAATCCAGCTAGTATTTTATTTTCTCATTTTAAGCAGAGAAAAAAAGAAAAAAACATCCCAAAACTTTCTTGATAAGGCATTCATACAACACACTGGTGGTGTTTAATGCTATGCTGATAGACTGATCCAGAAGACCTAATTAATTAAATATCCGGCTGTTGGAGTCACTCTTTACTGTTGCTTAGCCTGATAGAATGTGGCAACATTTTTAATAGTAGTTAGCTAGCCATTATTTCTCACAGAATACAGCTTCTTCAACAAAAAGTACAATGTAACTAATTGGAAGTTGCCAGTAGTTACGTAAACTGGCTTGAGTTTCTGTATTTTACATACTTCAAATCAAAGGTAAAATAATATGGCAAATACAAGAGGTAAAATACTCTGGTTCTTTAAGGAGCACCTGTATGTATACACGTATGTATACTGGAATTGTTAAGTATGTTTGCTAGATGTGTATGTTTAAGTATAATTAGTTGATCCAAGGCAATGAAATGCCTTGTTTCATCTTAAGTAATCTCTTACTTCTTACTGGTCCTGTCTAGGGGAACATTTTTTATTATAAAAAAATTACAAGATACCCGGGTGGGCAAATTTTTAAAAAAATCATAAACCCAATTGAAATTACTTGGGTTAATTTAAGCAGTACACATGTGTTATAGTTAGGAGAAGTGTTTCTCATGTTGTTTGTTTCTGTTTGCATCTGTTGATTTACTGATACTTTGCTGACTGTGCTTCCCTCTAATTCCACTTAAGTTTATGAGTAGTAGTAAATACTTAAAGGTTAATCCCAATTAGACCTGATTGGCACTGTCATTAAGTGTTCATGCTTGTAGACATACCCTCTCAGTTACTGAAGGTTGCAGCTCATTAGTTTCTGTAACAGGATTTTCTTTTGTAACAATAAAACAGATCTTTTTAATTAGCAACAGATAATGAATTTAAACTGTAGTGAACTGTTTCTAAAGAAGTCTCATTTACTGACAAAAAACCCAGCCTGAACAAAGTATGGAGCAGATTTCTGACTGAATAATTAGCGGTAGAGTAAAATAGTAGGAGATAAAAAAAATCTGATACAGCCCTTCTCAGTTTTCAGGTTACTGAAGGGAATAAACTAATGCTTAGAATCTGGCACAGGCTTATTTCCAATCAAGAGAATTAAAGAGGGCAATGAAAGTAAGTCATAGCTAAAGATAGATGTTAATAAACTGAATAGCAAAAAGCTGCTTACATGAATCTGGTTTGATGCTTTGATTGTGTGCTTTAATTCCAGTTGTTTTAACTGAATGTCTACCAGGCATTCTATCTGCATTTTTGAAACTGTGTATATGATTTATTTTAAGTTATGTGTAGTAATTTGGAGTGACTGACTACTAATTTTCCTTACCACAATTTGACAAATGCCAATCTTGATTAAGTAGACATCAGTTAAGGTTATGCTAAAGATGCCACTATTATCCTACCAGGAATAGAACATAAATTTTATTGTCAAGGTATGTCTTTAATGTCAGTTGAAACCAAGTTCTGAAATACCCTAATGGAATGAGAGGAAAGGAGGATTGGAAGGGTCAGGGGGGTGTTGTGGTACTAAAGACTGTTTCAGTGTCTTAAGGTACTTTCAGAGGGGACTGATTTTTCCCACTGAAGAAGCTGGTTGGATGCAGTGCCATTTCTGTCCCAGTCTGCTGTGGGTCTGCCTGTGAAGGCTGAGAGATAAATTGAAAGACTCTGAAGCAAAAGTATTTTTTTCAGTGTGTCCTTTTTTCTTTTGTTTGCAATGCACTTGGCAAAGACTTCTGCCTACTTTAGATTATCCAAAATGCTCAAATTATTGCCAGCATCTTAATATAGCTAGCAGTATTTTTTTTATTGCCAAGAAGACAGTGGAAGTGCATGTGCAGCAAACAAGTATCTGTGTCTGTGCCACTCACTCAGAAAAGAGGCTGCTCCAGAAATTATGGGACTCTTGTTTTTAAGCCGTCTTCCAGAGGTGAAGTGACTGTCCCCTTGGCCATCCAGAGCCAACACTTCTTTCTTTCACTTTATGTAGCAGAAGTTGGGGAGTGAACCCCTGATGTTTAATCATTGTAAATGCTAGGACAGTCTAGAATGGAAAAGGTGATTATTTGATTTTTGGTTCTTAGAAGATAGAGGACCCGTTACCTTGGTAATAGTGTATATTAGCGTATTTCCCATTACCTTGGAAATAGGAGTATTCAGGTAGTTACTATTGCAACTGAATACCTCCTAGTTTAAGGTACAAAACAACCAGCTTTCCCCTTTGCTGCTGACAGCAGAATCTACCAAGAACAATCAGTATTTTGCTTTTCCACTGACTCCACCAACTTACCTCTGCTTCAAAAGCAGAAAATACACACAGTGACTGAGTTTGTTTCTGAGTGTGGAACTGAGGACAAAGTGGGGTCAGTAGAAAATGCAGTATGACTGAAATAGCTGGGAAAAATGGGGGAATGTTTTGGGACAATATACACATTGCAGGCAGACTGACCCATAAACTGTGAGATTTTCTTTCCTACTCCTATCTGTCTCTTGGCTAGTTGGAATGTAGACTTGTCAGAATGGACACAAGGGTCGTATGCATACCACTTGGTGCTTAAGGTTTTCTACATATGTATTCTCACTGCTTCTGTGGTATGTCTAAAAAAATTGAAAATGGTACTAATCAAATATTAAAAATAGGTTTTTTTCATTTTGTACATCTTTAAAACAGATTAACGTAACTGTTCATTACATTAATCAAGACAGATTTCCTTCTGGCTGTTTTCCTTCAGTAAATCTGTAGTGTCCCATTAGACCATTTGAATGATCAAGTTCAAGATCATTGGCAAAACCCATCCCTTTTGCCTCACTAGTGTGCACAGCATTCTTCAGGTGCTTTGTGAAAACACAGGAGTTCATTTACTCTAACCGTATTCCTCCAACACTTTTCCCCTGTTTTCTGCTTGGAGTTTAAAACTCTTGTATCGAGTCACTTCTTTGCATGTGCCATTCTGTAAGTGGCACTTTTTTTCACTGTTCACATTTTTTTGTTGTTATTTAAAGCCCCTTGTGTTTTTTTTTCTGTGTCTTGCTTTGAGAGCCTGGACTTTTAGGATATGTAACCTTTTTCAAGATGTGATAATGGTAGAAACTGTTGTAATGGACATCTAATAAAGAGAAACAGGCATTACTGGGAAGGGTTGCTATTTAAGAAATATGAATCTACTGTACTGTGTTCTCTACCTTTTCTCCAGTCCCTGTAACTGCAAAATTCAGCAGTGCAAGCTTTCCTTGACAAGATTTTTTCTTTTAAGTGTATGCAAAGGACCAAACCCACTTTGCTGTAACATCCAAAGTAGCAAGCAGCATATCATTCACAAGCTGTATTAGGGAGAGGGACTGAGGGATAGGAAAGCCACTGATGGCTAGAAAATATATCAGGTAAATTCAATCTTAGTTATCATCAGTAATTCCTTACATATGCTCAATTTAACATTATATATCTGTGATTTTTCTCTATCAATAGCCAGGTATTTAAAGTCTTGTCAAGGGCCAGACTAGCTGATGCTGGTTTAGTCACCTTGTCATCTGCTGTCATGGAAGATGATTTTAACTGTTGGATTTTTATGCTCTTTTCAATCAGAATGTGTCTTATAAGTACACTTATGCTTTAGAAAACATAAAAATCGTACAGATTCTCTAATTTCCCTGTCTTTTCCACAGCCGCTTCTGCCTGTCATTGCTAAAGGGTTGTCAGTCTGTGCTAACTAGAGTGTGTCTACATGGATTACATCTTTTATTAGAATAGTGGGACAATCATAAAAAGCATACAAGAGGGAGCTGACAGGAGCTCGGGGCATACAGGCATATAGGAACAGGTGCTAGAAGCATTGAACTAAGAAGTCATCAAAAGGTTTTTTTCTGTTTGTAAAAGAGATGCAAGCAAGATGCTTGTGGGGCAAAAAACAATACCAGGGGTTTTCACTTTAAAGATATACTGATTTATAAGCTTTCCTGATACTAACATTTCCACAAAAAATGTTTTAAGGGAATATGAGAATTGGTTCAATATGTTGCATTGGTTAAAGCTTCTGCTCCAAGTGAGTGGTTAGATGAAGATCAGGTGCTGCAACATAGCATGGTGATAGCACCAGTTTTCATGGCAGTCAAAATCATTCTTATGGTTGAAATGCTTTCAGATGCAGTTTTACAAATTGGTGCCACCAGTTTCTCCATTTAAGAATTTTTTTCTGTTTTTTCTGTGTTAATCTGAAGAGGTGAAATATTTAGAGCCCATTTCAAATTCCAAGTCTTTTGATAGCAGGCAGTGAAAAGAACAGACAATACTAATTTGAAGACATAAGTTTGAGAAATGTC